TTTTTTTTTTCTTATATATAATATACTAGCGACCCGCCCCGGCTTCGCACGGGTGCAATATGCATGTATTATACATACAAACCTTCCTTAAGAATCACTCTATCTATTAAAAAAAACCGCATCAAAATCCGTTGCGTAGTTTTAAAGATCTAAGCATACATACGGACATACAGCGAAAGCGACTTTGTTTTATACTATGTATTGATATTATATAGAATACTTTTTATGTCTTAGAAATAAAAGCCAGTACTAAACAACTTTTTCCTTGTCTCCAGGTTAAGAGAACACAAAGTGCCATACATAGATGTCTTAGACTTTATCAAGCAGAAGCTCTATCCAGATGCTGTCAGGAATTCGGAACGTAAGTTTTTATTTATTCTCTTTTCTACTCGATTATTTCTTGATGCTCTCTTCTCTTCTTCTGCTCTAATGATACCTTCGGATTTATATCGTTGTAGGACCCAAGGCAGTCCCTTTTCATGATCGTGTTATGCGCCGCTTCATTATAGCAGTTTTTTATGGCATAAGCCGGTAAACGAGTAGACGGATCACTTGATGGTAAGCAATCGGCGTCGCCCATGGACACCTGGAACACCAGAGGCGTTACAAGTGCGTTACCGGCCTTTTGAGGATTAGGAGTCTTTGAGGATCGTTGGGGATTCAGGAATTGGGGAGATTGGGGAAGGGGAGGGTAATTGGCCTTGGTTTTTGCTTTGTTTTTCATTTTATTTATTCGTTAAACAATTTACATTGTATCTGAATGTCTTCATACTCATAAATTACATTGCAATATAAATCCAAGCTGCTAGTCATCAGTTTGTCATATCTGTTATGGCTAGTTTGTCCAGGAAAAAATTTATATTGATTAGCTCTTATTCAATAATACTACGTCGTGGTGGCCCGGAGGTTTAACACGCCCGCTTCTCATGCATAAGGGTACGGGTTCGAAACCTACCAACGGCAAGTACCAATGTGACTTTTTCCGAGTTATATGTACTTTCTAAGATTATCTAGATACCACTGACAAACGGTTAAGGAAAATATCGTGAGGAAACCTGGGTTTATAATTTCTAATTATAAGTTTATAATAATTAGTGGGAATTAATACTCAAACCTTCTCCGTGTGAGAAGCGGCTTTGCTCAGCAATGGGCATTTATAGTCTGTTGATGTTGATGATGATGATGATTAAATAATACTAATAATAATTTAAAAATAATACTGTTACACAGCTGCAAATCGTACGTTAAGCTGGTCGGAATGTGAGAAGTCAAACTGTGGTTTCACAACTTCGGTTAGCTTCTGCATCGCTTCCAAAGACAGGATGAACAAGAACTCCAAGAGGCATTGTGAGAACCAGGTAAGTTGTACAGTATCTACAGTGTAGGCCAACAGGCCAACAGGCCAGGGGTGGCCAACTTGATTAGACCTAAGATCGACTGTTTACTAACGAAATCCTGTGCGATCGACCAAGTACATACTTCTTGAAATTAAACTGCATAGTTTAGTACACAATCATGTATTTTTTATTGACCAGTCTTAGTGGTTTCTTTTCATATCACATCTGAGGTCGTTTTCTTAAATTTACTTAACATTATATGGGTCCTATATATTAGTGTGAGCATTGCGCCTGAGCATTTTCCACTAGTTTAGCATAATCTAGTTTGTAGATAGTAGTTGATAATTGTTAAAACGTTGCGCAGTCTGGTCTATTTATTTATATATTTTGTCTGGCCACGATCGACTAAATTAACAGTCGCGATCGACCGGTTGGCCACCCCTAATCTACACAAATGTGTACTAAACTTTGTCTAATAGTTTGTCTTTTATCACGTAAAAATACAGCTACAGATTGACATAATTATTGGAGTAGATCTCGCTTTATCGATAGAAACTGCGGCTCATTAAAACTTTGATGTTTTTGTTTTTATTATAACTATCGTAAGACATACTGAATTAACTAAAATCGCGGGTTACTCACGTGAATATACTGAGAAAAGAGAGGGGTTCTTCCTCATGAGAGTGAGCTGCGCGACGTCGCGGCGACCGCGCCCGCACACGCTGCTCATGAGGAAGCTTTTCTCAGTAATTTCACGTGAGTAACCCGCGATTTTAGTTAATTTGATATTTTTATTAAAATATTATGACAATTAAATTGTATGTAAAAAAAAATATAATATAATCTTGATATTGTTAGTTTTTGGATCTGGACCGGTCTTGCTCATTTATATATCTTCCTTGTATGTTTTAAAATTTACTTAATTCACAGATTTCAGTGTCAACTAAACACATTCAATATTTTCATAATCATTACAAAGCATCAATACAGATGCGTACATTATTTTAAAAAAAAGTAACCCCCTAACAACAACGTCAGAGGAAAACAATTCAATAACATTATTTTTAATATTTGTCTACAGATAAACACCCAAATAACGTCAACGCTAGTGTCGCTAGGTCTGCAGGCCGGTGTCAGCCGCGTGCGCGTCCACGTGGTGGCCGTGTCCGTGGAGGCGGCCGCCCTGCGGGCGCTGGCCGCCGGTCTGGCCGCACCACTCGACGCCGGGGAACTACATCATGCGTTCATGCCTGTTATTGATGCGTGAGTATACTAATAAATTCATTATTGTTGTGATTAGTTTACTAAATGCAAACCACAGATCATAATAACAACATATCATCACGCCTTTTATCCCCGAAAGGGTAGGCAGAGTGTTGTGTGATCCACAAATTGTTGTTTCTCGTCTGGACGTCATTGTGTATGTGAACTTGTATGTTTGTAAACGCACCCACGACACAGGAGAAAATCCTAATGTGGGGCAACGTTATGTTATGAATATAACATAACATAACATCATCAAAATTAAATATGAATATTTCGTTTTATTGAGCCCTACCATAACATTAGATACGTTATGCCCTTTAGTCACCTAAACTATAAAAGTTAATAATGACCAGAGTTCAAGAACCAGGTGGCGATAAGATAATACTTGTTTATTTGCATTGCGAAGGGTTTAAGGTCATTGTATGCATTGATAGTGCCTGTTACTATTGCAATGGTCCCTTTGCAATTGCTATATCCGTAGTACATTAACTCGTCGAGTACCGGTTTTGTAGACACAATTATAGAACAATAGGTTGCGGTCACCGGTGACCGCTTGGTGTTTGACAGTTTAACTTATTGATGTACGTATAATTATGCCTTATGACTTTTATACATATATTATAACAACTCAATACACTCGAAAAAAAAGAACTGATTAGTAATTTGTTTTATGAAATGAAGAGTATGGCAATAGACTCACACCCTATTAGATGGGACTCATACCATTAGTAGTGAAAAGTGGGTGTTATATTGTACCGTGGTATAATGTGCACCTCTGACTATCCCGTCGGGGATATTAGGCGTGATGTTATGTTATATTTTAGTAAAGAGAAAAATAAATTCTGAGTGTAAGATCAATAAGCACATTCATGTCAAAACATGACACTCCCATGACAACCAAGTTCCATATAATAATCAATTTTTTATCTATATTTTTTTTATTTTCAGGTACCCAAAACGCCGAGATGTTCTAGACGATGCCCTCCATGAGTTAACATCACTAGTTAAACAAAACAGCCAGTGTAGGGCCACGGATGAGACACAACTCTACGCTCTATACTCTATTCCCGATTCTCTATGCCGACTGATCACGTGACCTTACTTATGAAGTATTCGTTTTACAAGTCTTCGCATTGACTTTTTTATTTGTATTTTATCATTGGCTATGTGCAAAGCTAATAGCGACCGCAGCGCACAACACGGCAGAAATTGGAAACAAATGCGGATGGTGCAAACCCGGTTTTTATTATTATACATAATATTCATTTTACAGTAAAACTATTGAATAAATTGCACCTAAATAATGTCAACAATACTATTTTAATCTTTGGTTTTATTTAGATATATTAGCAAAGAAAATTATAATGTTTACATTGTTATTATTTGACAGCTTCCGCAAATGTTGTAACCGCTACGCGTCGCCACCGTCGTGCACATAGCCAATAGTTAAGTAATTAATGTGTGGTTGTTTGTGTGTGCTTCGAAACTGAAGTTATTTTTTGTGTGTATAGGTTTATGTCGGAGTGATATACTTAGGTAACTTTAAGTACTTATTTATCTCAGGACTTTAAACTTAAAATATATATCAATTTTCTAAGAAAATATGCAAATTGTTGCGTAAAAATAGTTCCAAATGCAGTTATAAGTTAATAATTGTATTAATAATACATTTCATTGTAGTAAAAATATAATAATTAACTTACAACTGCAATAGGAACTATTTTTAGTTATTTTTTACTGACCCAAAAAAATATGTAGGTATCTTAGTTACTTTTTACCTTGATTTTCTTTTTCAATCGCATAAGCGCAATTAATAGTTGTACCCGCTGATAAAAGATGGCGTTACTGTGTTAATGATATAGAAGGCTTAGTTTAGATTTAGATTTTGTTTTCGTTTAACGAGATCTTAACATTACTGCGTTCAGCTCTCTGATTGGCCTGCTCCTATAAACGAACCAATCAGAACGCTGAACATCATAAACGTGTCGATCACATTACGTAGAACAACTACGGTAGTCTAATCAAATATAGAAAGATAATATTAAACGGGTGCGTTTGATCTGAATTATATAATACATCATTTATGAATTTAAATACAATAGGTACTACACACGATATAGAATAAGCAAATGCATTTAAATAAATCTTGACATTTATGGAACTACGTACATTTATTATTTTTTTAAATACTTCTTTTAATAGTTTAGAATGTATACCAGTGGTGAGGAAAGGGCCTTGTGGTCTAAGAATTGAATCCGACCGGCAAAAGGCTTAATCCTGTCTCCTGATATAAGAACAATATACAGGGTGGAATTTTGTAATGCCTAATTGTAAAGCCTTTTTTTTGAGGGGGGAAAATCATCGAATGACTGCTCCCGCCTGGGTGAGGCGGGGGGGAGTGTCAGACTCTTACTGACTAAAAACCACCCCGTTCCTTCTCCTGCACTTCGAGCCGGAGCCCCGGTTACACGTTAGGTTCTCCGCGGCAATTGTAATGCCTAGGATTTTCGATATGATCTGTCACTGTATTCATCTGTGAAGAATTCCATAGGCCCAATTACTCCCCCCCCCCCAATCCTTGAATCCCCAACAATTCTCATATTCGCAATCCCAAAAGGCCGGTAACGCACTTGCAACGCCTCTGGTGTTCCAGGTATCCATGGGCGACGCCGATTGTTTACCATCAGGTGATCCGTCTGCTCGTTTACCGGTTTAGCACATAAAAAAACCATAATCTACCTTACCAATGAACTTATAAAGTTGACAGACATTTAATAAAATCACCTTTAAAGACAATAACAAGAATTATTTTTCCCCCATCGAAATTCCTTGTACATTTTTGGTTCTTAGCCCATCACTGTTTCATCCAATAACTGACGTAATATAAAATATAAATACTGCCCACCATTTTTTAGAAATAAGAGTCGTGATGTTATGTTATATAACAAATGTACATTTGTATACTTTGGTATAGATGCCAGCCCATTAAGGTAACTGTTATGGGGTCTTGTTGGATAAAGTATGGTGAATTGGCCCCCTAATCTGCTAACTGTTAAGGAACATACATACTGCTGGGCAAGGGGTTTGATTCCCGAGTCGCGCAAAGTATTACTGGTATTTTGTAGTACTACTATTTTTTTTAAGTCTCGGTAGTACCACGGTGTCTAGAATTGTGCCCGGTATACTGAAAAGTGGATGTTACATTGTACAGTGGCATTAAGTGCTGTAATGTGCACCTCTGCCTACTCCTTCGGGAATACAAGGCGTGATGTTATGTTAAGTCAAAACGAAATCTAATTTCGAAGCATCATCTTATATTAACGAGTTGATAATAAAACAACAGGTTCAGTATAGATTCCATTAGGGGCCACTGCCTAGGGGGTCGCCAATACTCATCCAGTCCCTTTTTATAAGAGATAGTCAACCCTATGTTATCGAAATAAAGTTCAAAATGACGTAGATACAATGGCTAGCAGGTTAATGTACTCCTTTCTGTGAAATATTATTACCCGATTTTCAATTTTATGGCTATTGATGATATAAAGTCGAAAATCAAGCGACTGACAAAACATTAATAGAAATTCGATAATTTTGGTTTCTTTTCTATGCTGGCGTCTGTACATTGACCCGATATGTTATATAACTTTAATATTATTTGTATGTGATTTAATATAAGTATTAAATGTTTTGTACATTAACGGATTTTATTTCATAAGCATTAAAGTCTAAAATAGAAAGACTTCGTTTATACAAACACAGTTTGTAAATTTAAATATAAATGTTATTAAATAAAATACAATAACGTTATGTTTTTTTTTTTAATAAAAATATAATGATTCAAAATTGAATAATAAAAGATTATAATTTGAAACTTATTGCTTTTTATTTTATTTATTTATTTACATAAAATATTCAGTCTCAAAAAACTTACAATACCTAATAAGTGTCTTATATAAGTGCTGGAATACTGAAACGTTACTCAATTAATTGAAGTCGTGCTCAAATATCGTGCCATCTCTGTCATTTTACAAAGAATTTGTAGAGATAGAACTATACATAAGCACGACTTAAAATTGAGTAGCGTTTCAGTATTCCGACATTAAACTGTTAACAAATATAAAAAAGTATTGCTAACCACCACGCTTGCTCAATGCGGGTTGGCGATTTCAAACTTGAATTAGAAATTATAAATCCAAATAACCTCACGATGTTTTCCTTCACGGTTTGTCACATTTAGACCCATGCAATAACGTGATATATCGTTTTCAATTGAATTATCGACTAAATTAAATGGAGGTCAAGGGTTTTGTTTTAAAATATTCAACATCTTATCATTTTAGGTATCTTGTAGTATAGAGTCGTAGTATTTAAGTGATAATTAATATAGAACTTGTGTTATTTCTGGATACACATGTAGTAAATATCAGCTGATGATGTGAACTTTGTATCGTCTTTGAACCACGCACATTACATAAAAGTGTAATAAATAAACTAATTTATCAATACACTAGCTACTTTCGCGTGGTTTCACTCGCTCTGCTCGGCGCCTATTAATCGTAGCGTGATATTTTATAGCCTATAGCCTTCCTCGATAAATGGGCTATCCAACACAGAAAGAATACTTCAAATCGGACCAGTAGTTTCAGAGATTAGCGCGTTCAAACAAACGAACTCTTCAGCTTTATAATACTAGTACCTATAGATATGTATACAAGCGGATGGCGCCACTGTAGTTTAAAAGTCATTCATTCAATTTAAATATTTCATATTGCCTTTGGTCTTCATGTAAAACTAAAACTAACAGCCTTTTTATAATCTGTCTATATACCTCTATTACTCCATAGATTTATTTACTAGAAAAATAATTTTAACTTTTGAATAAATAAGAAACAAGCTAATTGTATTGACATTATATCTCTAGTAAACAGATGTGTTTACAATAGATAAGTTAGTGAAACTGACTGCAAGAAGGCAAAGATACACATGAACTTGACTTAAAGTTATGCCCCTTAGATGGGGGTCGAGGGCGTCCAACGAGGTCCTTCATCTATGGGTGCGTCTGGCGAATACTCTGTTAATGCACAGTTCGCGAGCCGTCTGCGAGCTGCGCGCATGCATTTAAACTGTCAAACACCAAGCGGTCACCGGTGACCGCAACCTATTGTTCTATAATTGTGTCTACAAAACCGGTACTCGACGAGTTAAAATAATTATTTAAAGTCAAAGTCAAAGCATTTACTTCAATTAAACCATATTTTGGTACTTTTGAAACGTTATAAAATACAAAATAAATAATAGTCTGTCAGTCAGTCCGTTAATGAAGCTAGGTGAAGTTAATATGTACAAGCGAACCTTGTACATATGAGTTGAGCACCAAACCATTGGCGCGCGTAGCTCGCGAGCAGTTCGCGTACGGCTCGCGACCAGAACATTCGCCAGATATGCACGCACCCTTACATTACAATATTATGATTAATCCTAATCTATTAATTCTACTTTAATTCCATACATAAGACTTACTTGAAAAACTCAAAATTCTCACTACAAAGTATAAACATTGTCGTCTTTCATTCTATAAATCAAGGGTGTAAAGGTCATATGGACTGGTGGGACGGCTGGTAGATTCCCTGCAGCATCATAAGAGTTGCACCTTGGAGCCGACACCAAGATACATGTGATTATTGACAGGAACATGGCAATGAGGGCCCAAAACATAAGGACGAGGAAGAAACGAGTTCTTCGCCATGTGATTTCTTGGCGCGCTGTTTGGACCTCTTCTTGGGTTAGTGGTCTGGAACAAAGAAATAAAAGATTAATAAATCGTACAATTAGTATGTTTTTCAGCTAACTCACGTAATAGGTATGATGACAGGGTATGAAAATTAAAAATGTAATTAGTCCGTCAGTTAGATAATGAAAAAAATATTAGACACGTATTTTTTTATATTTTTTTGCATAATAAAATGATACTTAGATATAACGAATCAAAGTGAGTGGGGGCTAAAACGTCATTTATACGTATAAAATGTACATAGAAGTGACGTCACCCAACATTTTAAATCAATATATCGTCGAAAGTCTTTGTTTCTGAAAAAAAATAAAAAACATGTGTGTAATGTTTTAAAATAATCTACCAGACGGACATTGACAATTACTCATCTACCCCATTGTTCGAAGTCGCGGAGAACCTAACGGGATACGGAGAACGTGCAGGAGAAGAAATGGGGTGGTTTTTAGTCAGTAAGAATCTGACACTCCCTTCCGCCTCACCCAGGCGGGAGCAGTCATTCGATGATTTTCCCCCCTTAAAAAAACCCTATCCGAGTACCTATGTCCTATGATACCAAGATTGTGCGGCAAACGACCAGGCGGTCACTCTGCACCAAACGTGATAATTACAAACTCAATCAACGAGTTAAATAATTGTTTCCTACCTAATAATAACTGACCCGAAATCACGACCGCTAGAGTAATTAGATAAATAAATATAGATAAAGAGCGCTAATTTTAGAGTAAGAGACCTCGAAGTTTCCTGGAAATAATTGTAATTTATCAGTTAACTTGTAAGTTCTCACTTATAGGTTAAAAGATCACTGTTAAATTAATCGTGTAGTCTGCACTGTTACTAACAGATATTTAGGTATTTTGTAATATCGGTCAAAATGATATTACGTCTATAGATTTGACCACTACCTAATAAGATTTTGATTAATAATATAGACTGCCTCGTTGGCCGAGTGGTCGCAAGTGTGTCTGCCGGGCAAGGGGTCTCGGGTTCGATTCCCGGGTCGGGCAAAGTATTACTGGTTTTAAAAAAAACTCAGTAGTAGCACGGAGTCTGGAAATGTGCCCGGTATATGGCAATAGGCTCACCCCCTATTACATGGGACTCATAACAAGTGAAAAGTGGGAGTTACTTCTGTGTCCATCTCTGCCAACCCCTTCGGGGATAAAAGGCGTGATGTTATGTGTATATGTGTGTTAATAATATAGTGATTATTTTGTTTTAGGTTTTTTTTTAAACATTTTCATGTTGTCTGTCTCTCATGTTTTTATTACATTAACTGTCTCAGGCCTACTGAAAGAAATACCAACACGAATAAGTAGCACCTGTGTACTCCTATTGTATAAATGTGTTATCCTCTGTGCTGTTTGTGTATACCTACATAAATCATTAAATAAATAAGATACTCAATACATTTAAAACTACTAACAAAGAATATATAAAAAAACTAAAGATAACTACAAAGAGCGTCATAAAATTCCTCCGCCTTGATGCCAGCTGGGAAAGTATCCAGGCTGGCAGCATTGCCACGTCATATGGCAATGCTTAACCTCTGACTGAGGAACAGACCAGCCCTCTAGTCAAGAGATACGTCGACCAGGCGTTTTGAAATATTTTTAAATAAGCTATGGGTACTTGGACCCCACGGACCTAGCGTCTCAACCATAAACGGCTCAAAAATAAAATTACAAGCAAGATTAAATACCTACGTTGTATTTAAATACTATCTTTTACCCGCGGCTTCGCTCGCGTCACAAAAGGATAAGAAGCCAATGTGACATATACCAATACACACAGCGCCACCTATACCAATAAGTTTGTTTTCCCTCGGGCATATCAAATTTTTCAGGGATAAAAAGTACCATATTATTTAATCCGGACTTCTAACTATACATCTGCAAAAATTCAAAGCTATCAGTTTAGTAGTTATGGCGTGAAATCGGAACAAACAAATAAACAAACTCACTTTCCGATGTATAATATTAGTAAGGATCGTGCCATCTCTATCATTTTAAATGTGGAAGAGCCATGCTTCGCAAGTGTGGGAGAGCCATGCTTCGGCAGGAACGGCCCGCTCGACCGGAGTAATACCACGGCCTCAAAGAAAACCGATGTGAAACAACGCTTGCGTTGTGTTTCGTCGTGTGAGTGAAGTTACTGGAGGCCCAATTATCACTCTCCCCCCTCCAATCCAATTTCCCCAATCCCTGAATCCCCAACAATCCTTAAATTCTTTATTCCCAAAAGGCCGGTAATGCACTTGTAAGTCCTCTGGTGTTCCAGATATCCATGGGCGACGCCGATTGTTTGCCATCAGGTTATCCGTCTGCTCGTTTACCGGCTTATCCCACAAAACACAAAAAATGCCGTAACTATACTTAAGCGTGACTTAATACTTAGGAGCCTTTCAGTGTTCGTGCGTGAGTACCTAACGTAGCTAAGATGTCGCGGAGAACCTAACGGGTAACCGGGGCTCCGACTCGACGTGCAGGAAAAGGAACGGGGTGGTTTTTAGTCAGTAAGAGTCTGACACTCCCTCCCGCCTCACCCAGGCGGGAGTAGTCATTCGATGATTTTCCCCCTTAAAAAAAAAAACGTAGCTAAGATACCTATAGATAGTATCTAGATAGTATTTTTATCTGCGTTCTGATATTGATTCCTTTAATGACTATGTTTTATAATGGTTTTTATAATTAACAATAGGTACCAATTAAACATAAATGACCTAATTCAGTTTTTGACACAGAAAGGTCAATGTCAATTTTTGTTACCTAACACCTGGTTCACTAAATTTCATGGGATCACATAGGTAATATAGTAAAATGGATTTGAAACAACTAGAAAATGTTTACCTTGGCATTAAATGACCTGTATTTGGTAATAGGGAGGCCTACGCTACTGAGACGACTTCCTTTTTTACTGGGATTTTTTTGATTTTATTTATTTTATTTAGTTAATTTTAATTTATATATTAATCGAAATGTAACGTAATAATTTAAACGAAACAATAATATTGATTTGAATGCATGACACTTGTTTTTAAGTTTTTTTTTATACGTTGCCCCACATTAGGATTTTCTCCTGTGTCGTGGGTGCGTTTACACACACCACATACATTGTGGTAGAATAAAGGCTATTTTTATTTTATTTGGTAATAGTATAATCATGAAAAGTGGATGTTACATTGTTATTATGCACTCCCGCCCGTCCCAATAAGAAAACCACAACACGATATTATTATGTTAAAATTTCTACATACCCAAATCTTCTGCATCTTAAATCAGTGCCTTGAGAAAGTAAAGGTTGTCTTTCAGGATCCATGCTGATTGAATAATCTTCTCTTATAAAATAGTTGCACACTGAATTATTTTAATACCACTGTTTTATAAACAACCTTCGTACTAAAAATTTTCAATATTTTCACTTAATTATTTGATGAGCTACAAATAATTAAAAATCTATAACAATAGTATTATATTATTTTCGTTTAACTCGTCGAGTACCGGTTTTGCAGACACAATTATAGAACAATAGGTTGCGGTCACCGGTGACCGCTTGGTGTTTGACAGTTTAATCACCACATAAATGTAGAAAATAGTGTCCACTACTTCGCAATAAAAATTTAAAAAAGCAGGTGATAAAATTGACAATCTTTTAATTATTATTTTATGTTAGCCGCAATGGAAATGACACGTCCTAATAACAAAAAGCGAGACGATACTAAAACAATCCCTGAGAAATTGCATTATTTGTATTCAATAAAACACTGTATATTGACTAAACTAAGGTATACAATTAATTGTTAATCCACTACCTATTTAGTATTTTAATCACGATATTTTGTTTGACGTAACTAAACAATACTTTTATCAAGTGACTATGTAGTTTGAAATGAGAGAATTGTAATGATAATTTCCTCCGCCCGTATAGAAATACGTATTAAGTAGGTATAATATTGTGTCACAGAAATGACGCATAGACGTAATAGTTGCAGTGTTTGTTGTGGCTATGTGTGAAATAAAACCGTTTAATACTGATGAACTATAACATAAGTTTGATATTTTTTATATTATTCAATCAATATAGAAATTGGAATTATAATCAACGGCCTATAGGCAGTCACTGTTTACCTAAAGCCTCTTCTTACACGTAGAAGATATGAGCATTAACTCGTCGAGTACCGGTTTTGCAGACACAATTATAGAACAATAGGTTGCGGTCACCGGTGACCGCTTGGTGTTTGACAGTTTAATCACCACACTTCTTTACATCACACAAAATTCTTCATAATAATTAAAAACTGTCGTATTTGTGTTCATTAAATTATTTATTTATTTAAATACTTAAAGTAAATATGACCGTTCCTCTTGAGTAACTGTACCGAACTGATTGTTTCGTCTTAATTGCCTCTGATACGTTAATTATTGGTTTGTTATTGTGTCCATTAACTTCTCCTTATCAAGTAGATGTCAATAGTTAGATTCACTGCAGACAATCTATTTTGTGGTTAGCGATTCAAGATTTTGGTCTTATTCATTTAAAAGACTGTCTCAATGGCCAAGAAGTGGTCGCAAGTGCGACTGCCGGCCAAGGGGTCTCGGGTTCGATTCCCGGGTCGGGCAAGGTATTACTGGGTTTTTAAAATCTCAGTAGTTGCACGGAGTCTGAAAATAACATAACATCACGCCTTTTTATCCCCGAAGGTATAGGCAGAGGAGCATATTACGGCACTTAATGCCACTGTACAATGTAATACTCACTTTTCACTATTTATGTTATGAGTCCCATATAATAGGGGGTGAGCCAGTGAGCCTATTGCCATATACCGAGCACAATTCCAGATTCCATGCTTTACACTTTTACTGAGAATTTTATTTATAAAAAAACCCGGTAACAACTTGCCAGACGCGAGAATCGAATCAGAGACCCCTTGCCCGGCAATCGCACTTGCGACCACTCGGCTAACGAGGCAGTCACCACACGTGCGAACACAATAAATGCTAATCTATTTATAGATGCACTTATAATTAATTAGTACGTACTTCAGTGCTTATTCAGATAATTTCTATAACTGCTTGAAGTAGTAGGTACATATAGTAATCATCATAATGTTGAAATCATCCATAACCAAATTAGATTTGTCTATCTGCCAGTCTGTAGTAGGTATAGCATAAAATTCAATCCTCATAGATAATCCCCCTCGCCTAGGAAGGACGAAAGGGACTTTTTTTAATTTTAGTGGGACAAGCCCGCCATAACCTCCGAAAACCGCAGCAACTCCTGTAAGCCAGGATCTACAGTAGATAAAACCATGAAAACACCGGAACACTGAATTCCGGCGCGTCCCAGGGACACGAATACCTACCTGTCTTGGTTAACGCAACAAAGTGAATCAAGACATTATAAGAGAGAGAGACATTATATAAAAACAACGATAGATTCCAATTCCCTCGGAGACTGTTACTGACTAAAACCCACCCCGGTGTCTCATCTCACACGCATAACGAGGGTGCTGGAGTCACATTCTTTCGAAACCCCGAATCGGACCTACAAGTAACTGAAATATATTATGGTTTTTTTATGGGATAAGTTGGTAAACGAGCAGACGGATCAGTTGATGGTAAGCAATCGGCGTCGCCCATGGACACCTGGAAAAATAGATGCGTTACAAGTGCGTTACCGGTCCTTTTAGGGATTAGGAATTTGAGGATTGTTGGGGATTCGAGGATTGGGGAGATTGGTGGTAATTGGGCCTCTGGTAACCTCACTCACTCGACGAAACACAACTGTTTTCTGTGACGCTGTGGCGTTGTATCATTCCAGTCGAGTAGGAAATAAATAAATTCTTAACAAATTGACGCAGCGGAGTTTTATACTAGGTACCTACTTGATCAACTACTTGAGATTATATCTAGGTACCTACTTACTATCATTTCCTTATGAAACTCTGGACTCTCTTGAAGAGCATATTATTATAATTATTATCTATTTATCAAACAGTTCACTGTTTATTATCAGCTAGGAAAGTCCAACTTGCAGTCTATAGAAGTCTAGTTATTTTTTGTATAATGGGAAAATCGTTATGGTATCTATTATTTTCGTTATGGGGCTGTGTTGCTTTGTCATTTAGGGACCCATGGGAGGACATTGAGGATCGAAAATTTGAAAGTTTGTTAAAGCGTCTAGTTTATACGAGAAAAGGTTATATCACTACTGGGTTGGTTGCCAACGGTTACAAGAGGTATATGGGAGTGCCTTATGGATTGGTGAATGCAAGCAATCCCTTTGGGGTGAGTATTTATTTTTTATAAGGCGTTTTGATAGTTAAGATTGGCATAACATAATATCACGCCTTTTATCCTCGAAGGGGTAGGCAGAGGAGCACATTACGGCACTTAAAGCTTGCCTAAAGGCACGGAGTCTGGAATTGTGTCCGTTATATGGCAATGGACTCACCCCCTATTATATGGAACTCATAACATAAATAGTGGAAAGTGGGTGTTCCATTAAACAGTGGCATTAAGTGCCGTAATATCCACCTCTGCCTACCCCTTCGCGGATAAAAGACGTGATGTGATATATGTATGTAGTATTGTCTTGACAATATTATCATTTTTAAAGTACATCTGAATGAAACAGTAAATCAACATTGTTACAGCCAGCCGAACCTTACCCAGCATTTAAACAAACATTCTATGCAGAAAAAGAAGGCATTTTATGTCCACAGATAAGAAATGGTAAACCAGTAGGCATTACTGAATGTCTTACTATGAACATATATGTCCCACAAAACCGCGCTGCCTCTAAACTCCCATTACCAGTCATGGTTTGGATTCATGGAGGAGAATTTGTGAGTGGTAGTGCTGAAGATGAAGTTGATAACCCAACCAGTCTACTAAGACATGGCATCATAGTAGTAGCTGTTAACTATAGACTTGGTATCTACGGCTTCATGTGTCTAGACACACATGAAGTTCCAGGCAACCAAGGACTCAAAGATCAGACACTAGCTCTAAGGTGGATACGTGATAACATTGCAGCATTTGGAGGTGATCAAAACAAAATAACAGTCTTTGGCCAAAGCGCTGGTGGTATGTCTATTAACATGCATTTATTTTCTTTAAACGAAAAGCTATTTGAACAAGCAATTATACAAAGCGGTTCAGCTCTTAGCTACTGGATGATGGTTGAATCTGACGACACAATACCTTTGAAACTTGCTGAACATTTTGGCTACGCAACTTCAGATATACATAAGGCTTTGAATCATCTTTCGTCGATCGACATTCGACACACATTCTCTTGTAAAGGCTGCTAATGATATGAAAATTACAAGTGCGTATTCTACCGATCAACCATTTACTAAACCTTGCGTAGAAAAACAGTTTGAAGGTGTCGAGAACTTTATAACACAGCATCCTATGAACATGATTTCTGAAAAAGCTAAAGAGATTCCTATAATAATTGGGCACAACGCAAATGAATATTATTTTCAATGTCATGATAAGGATGAGATATTTTTTACTTCATACGATATAAGTAAATTATTTGAATTAGGTTTTAATATAGACACTGATTTTAATGAAGCAATAAGAGCAGTGGAACACTTCTATTTTGGCGATGCACATATAGAAAAAGAAGGTGCAACGAAACTTGTAGATTTTGTTACAGATTTTATTTTCGCTCATCCGACGCAAAGGATGGCTGAAAAGTTTCTAGAAAGTGGTGCGAAATATGTGTACCGTTATGTTTTCTCATTCTTCGAAGCGAGTCACGGAGATGAGCTGCCATATTTATTTGATTCACTAGTATCTAAACTTAATAAGACTGACGGTGGAATATTCTGGAAGGAACGATTGCTAGTGAAACATCGCATGGTTAAACTTTGGACGAACTTTGTCAAGCATGGGTAAGTACATACATAACCTCACGGCTGTCTTTCGTTTTTTTAAGGGGGGAAAATCATCGAATGACTACTCCCGCCTGGGTGAGGCGGGAGGGAGTGTCAGACTCTTACTGACTAAAAACCACCCCGTTCTTTCTCCTGCACGTCGAGCCAGAGCCCCGGTAACCCGTTAGGTTCTCCGCGACTTCATATTACCACGATTGTTACATACCTCTTACGGTACGGGTAGATTAAGTGAACTGAACAAGTTCAACTCGAAACTTCTTTGTGTGATTAACAAATTAATGAGTGTTTGTCTTTGTTTGCTAATGTCAAAATATTCACAGAATTTTATAAGATTCAGTACTGGATATTGGATATTGTTCTGTCTTCTAATGGTGATAATACTTGTAAAGATTTTTTTACTGGATATTTTTGTATTTTAGGCATCCATCTCCAGAGCCCGCGGCATATCTACCGTTCGTTTGGACTCCAATAACGAACACTACCCAACCTTACTTGGACATTGATCTCGATTTCAAAATGATGAGTAGACCAGAGCACGGATCAATGGCATTCTGGGATTTATTCTATAAACTTTATGGGAAATTCCAGAAATGGTACATTAACGAAGATAAAGAACAGCAACTGGTTTTTAAAACTAGTTCTTTGAAAAATCTACCTCTACAATTCAGTTCCAATGTTCAGTTTAATACGATTCAAATATTTAATATGAAAGATGAGAATTAAAATTATGTTTAAGAATAACTGCTTGTTTGAATAAAATAATATAATTTGGATTATTTTGGTACACATGCGAATGGCACAAAATAAACTGGTATTATTTTTTAAGATAGACGCGAGCGTATGGATCAGCTGATGGTATAAAATCAGAGCTGTCCATGGACACTCACAGTAAATACCAAATCGTTACAAGTAAGTTAGTAAGTAAAAAAAAACCTTGCCCCACACTAGGACTCTCTTTTATGTCGTGGGTGCGTCTACAAACTTACAATTTTCACATACACGGGACACCCAGATACTATGACATGACACCATGACCCACATGCTGAACTGGTCCCATTTCACGGCAGACTAGGGACATGAACATGTATCCATCAGTACCTCATCAGTATCGTCAGTACCTACTAATACAATGACTTATTTGTACATATCACTTGTTTTTCATATGAATTTTTTTCTTTCTCTTTCTTTCTTTAGATCAGAAACAACAATTTGTCCCAGCCCAAAGCTACAAATGTAATGACGCGACATAATGGGTATCTTGATCTGCTAGCATCGCTACCTATATTTACACAAAAAACCCGATCCGCGTCACACCACAGAACGACATTGACAGCATATTTATCGTTTATCTTAACTCTTGCGATGGGAAATCCCAACTTGTACTCTTGAATAAATACCAAGCCATTCTTACTTTACCTACCAGTATTTAGATATCTAGCCATGTGGTCTATTGTGTGGTTGATTTCGCTATGTGGTCTAGCCTATGGAGCATCCAGACTTGATCCTCTAGTGTCCACTAAAGGAGGTCTGATTAGAGGACTCCAGTTTGGTGATGGATATGCCAAGTTTTTAGGAGTGCCATATGGTGTTGTTGATCCCAATAATCCTTTTGGGGTGAGTTGATTTTTATTAATATTCTGTGTGGTAGATACAACGTTGACGTGTTTTTGGTACAGTATAAAATTTTAAAATCATTTACTTAATTATAAATTAAAATATAATTTTATTAGACTTAAAACTGAAGACTGCCTCGTTGGCCGAGTGGTCGCAAGTGCGACTGCCGGGCTAGGGGTCTCGGATTCGATTCCCGGGTCGAGCAAAGTACAACTGGGTTTTTAAAAAAAATCTCAGTTGTAGCACGGAGTCTGGAATTGTGCCCGGTATATGGCAATAGGCTCATCCCCTATTACTTAGGACTCATAACATAAATAGTGAAAAGTGGGTGTTACATTGTACAGTGGCATTAAGTGCCGAAATATGCACCTCTGCCTACCCCTTCCGGGATAAAAGGCGTGATGTTATGTTATGTTATGAAGCTGAACTATATAACAAAGAACTGAATATCAAAACACATAATTATATTCTCATTTACTAATAATGAGTTTCTTTTATTACAGCCGTCAGTACCACATCAAGGCTTCGAAAATACATTTGAAGCATACGAATCAAAATCGTGTCCACACACACAGTTCAACAGCAATGCCGCTGTCGGTACTATCGACTGCCTCACTGTCGACATCTACGTGCCAAGCACTGCTAATTCACGGAACCCATTACCTGTCATGGTATGGATACATGGTGGAGCTTTCATCGGAGGTAGCAATGGAGATGAAGCCAACGAACCAGTGTCACTACTCAAACACGATGTTATCGTAGTAGCTGTGAACTACAGACTTGGTATCTACGGCTTTATGTGCCTCGATATACCTGAAGTACCTGGCAACCAAGGACTCAAAGACCAAACACTAGCTCTCAGATGGGTGCGTGACAATATAGCTGCGTTTGGAGGAGATGAAAACAAAATCACTATATTTGGTGAAAGTGCCGGTGGTATGTCCGTTAACATGCACTTGTTTTCTCTTAATGAAAAACTGTTTGATCAAGCTATTATACAAAGTGGTCCAGCTCTAAGTTACTGGATGATGGTAGAATCAAATAATACTATACCTTCAAGGCTAGCTGAGGAACTAGGTTTTGTTACTTCTGATATAAATGAAGCTCTTAGATATCTTGCTACTGTTGACCCACATTTGCTAGTCCAAGTAGCTAAAGACTTGAAAATTTCTAGTGGATCTGGCAATGATCAACCTCTAACAAAACCATGCGTTGAGAAAGAATTTGAAGGAGTAGATAACTTTATCACAGAGCATCCCATGAATACGAAATCAACTAAAGTAAGTAGGATGCCTATTATCATTGGGAACACTGCAAGGGAATTCTTCTTCCAGTACGCTTATCAAGATGAGAAATTTTTCGAATCTTTCGATATAAAAACTTTATTTGAAATGGGATTCAATGTAGACAGTGATTTTGAAAAAGCCATAGATGACGTGAAACATTTTTATCTTGGGGATGAGAAAATACAACAGAAGGTTGTTGAAGAACTTATTGATTTTGGAACTGACTTAATTTTTGGTCATTCAACACAGAGAATGGCTGAGAAGCTCTTAGAAAGTGGTGCTGACAAAGTGTACCGATTTATATTCTCATATGGTGAAGCAAGTCATGGAGATGAAATCAGGTATTTGTTTGACTCGACGATGGGGAAATCAGAAAATGAACCGGACTCTGAAAAGGCGTCAGTTAAAACACGACTTACTACCCTATGGACGAATTTCGCAAAGTATGGGTTAGTATGAATTGCTTTTACATTTTTATCTTTTATTCTACAGTAGGCTTCTGCCTACTGCCTACTCTGTTACATGTACCTCTGCGCATGTAACTTACAGAGCGCCCTAAACAAGCATTTCATCGGTGTGCCTAATTTTTTTGGTGCCGTCGTCACTCTACGGTCTTGTTCGTATCTCGGCGACGTGGCGCCCTTCTGTTACTTGGTGCCCTAGGCATTCGCCTAGTTTGCCTTAGGGATCATCAACAGGCTATAAATGCCCATCGCTGAGCAAAGTCTCTTCTCACACGAAGAAGATTTGAGCATTAATCACCACGCTCGCTAAATGCAGGTTGGCGATTACAAACTTATAATTAGAAATTATAAGTTTCCTCACGATGTTTTCCTCTGCCGTTTGTCAGTGGTGTCTAGATAATCTTAGAAAGTACATATAACTCGGAAAAAGTCACATTGGTACTTGCTGTTGGTAGATTTTGAAGGCGCACCCACATGCATGAGAAGTGGGCGTCTTAAACCTCCGGGCCACCACGACACCTTATTATGCCTTAGGTATGCCTGCTCAAATAGTAGGACAATATATTATTATGTAGTTATAAACGATTTAATTTACTCTCTCTCTCTCTCTCTCTCTCTCACACACAATTATCACGGATAGTAGGTACCTGATGTTTGACATGCAATTCATTATAGACTTTTATGTTAACCCAGACAAACAAACAAATACTTAATGCTTATCATATAGGTGTAGATTATTGTGAAATAATTCATGCCACACAGGAGTGTCTCTATCTATCTACGTGAAATATGACTTCTATACCGATATTTGATAACATGACAGGCTTATCTGATATTGAGTACCTGCGTGTTAAGAGGGACTTTATCTTAGAATCATTGAGTATAGTATCACGCCTACAATTTTATGATGGGTTAGGCAAAGACGTTACTCAAAGTTTTGACTTCAGTGGTATCAATAAATTTAATTTCTTTCACATTACTCTATTTAGTCTAACAACGTTACAATTAATTTGACTCAATGGACCTAATTTTATTATATAATCATTTTTTATAACATATCTTTGCATGCAAAATGAAGGCAAAATATGGAGTAACTGTAAACTTTGTCAACACCTATATTATTATGTACCCATGTTTGCAAATTATTGAATGAATTTGAATGTCCTCCAGTCCATTTGAGTGCGAGATTAGTAAAAAAAAGTTTTGTTTACAATAATTCTATTTTTTTCTAGATTTCATTGCCGTTAGGTATTATACTCATATTTATAAAATACTCATATTCGACTACAAGGCTGTTCCAAGTTTCAAGTTATACCTAAGATGACATAAAAACTTTTATTATAATTTTGCTCATTTATTTAATATTTGTAAATTATTCAGCAAGTATTTGACCAATGAAATAAGATATCATGTATTTAGCATTTATTGGTAATAATGATTCTGTTTAAAATTATGAAATTGTCAATTAATTAGTACTTACCTATCTATTTTATTCCAGAAATCCAACACCAACCTCCACAGACCTGCTACCCTTCACCTGGGCTCCAATCACGAAGACATCACAACCGTACCTAGACATGGATACAGAATTTACCATCAAGAGCAGACCAGCTCATGACAGAATGGCATTCTGGGACATATTCTACAAACTCTATGGACAACACCAGAAATGGTACAAAGAGCAATAAAGAATAAACTAACTATAAGAGAAACATTATGAAACAATTATATAAATATTAAAACATAAATTATGTGAAGTGTTTTTCTTGATAATTTTTATATTCAAGTGTGGGAGAGTTATGCTTCGGCACGAATGGGCCGGCTCGACCGGAGTGATACCACGGCCTCACAGAAAAATGACGTGAAATAACGCTTGTGTTGTGTTTCGTCATCACTGCGAGGACCGCCCTGAGGACACGGTGGAACACACAGTGGGAGAATGCCCTGCGTGGGCTGAGCACCGCCGTGCCCTCAGGGAAGTGATCGGCGATGGCGACCTCTCGCGTCCGGGCCTAGTGCAGGCCATGATGCGGAGCGAGGGGGACTGGGATGCCGTCTTCTCTTTTTGCGAAGCAGTCATGCTAGCTAAGGAGGAAGCGGGACGCGTGAGGCAGCGAAGCGCTGCCTCCTCGCAACCCAGCCATCGCGAAGGACACACCGGGCGTCGGGGATCGCGAGACGATCTCCGGCCACCGTAAGCGCGGGCCTGCGGACGGCGAGCATGGGTGGCTCCCCGTCCGATCAGAAACAGACCCGAGCGTACGGCACGTCGCGTTCCGCGCGCACCTCAAAGAGCCATCAGACCACCACAGATAGGGCCCTATAGGGCTGTTGCCGATTCGGAGTCGCGGAGAACCTAACGGGTAACCGGGGCTCCGGCTCGACGTGCAGGAGAAGGAACGGGGTGGTTTTTAGTCAGTAAGAGTCTGACACTCCCTTCCGCCTCACCCAGGTGGGAGCAGTCATTCGATGATTTTCCCCCCTTAAAAAAAAAGCGTGTACCTAAACTAGACCAAGCTACGTTTTTAACACCCAAAAATACTTCAACAATCGCGGAAACCCAACTCTTTGCTCGCTTAAGGCTCGTAATTGTAACTACTCTACCAACAAGGTAGTCGTTAGCACTTGGACATAACCTTTTTGCCTATTCAATGTTGACCTTGTAACATAATGCCGATGATCACACTGTTTAACAAAAAGTAGAATTCAACGTGGTCAATGACTCAAAACTCATGTGGATGAGTCATGACTATAGCAACGGTTCCGTCGAGATTCATAGCAATAAAGAGGTTCATAGTTTTCTTTTACCTCTATATTCTTTGTAAGTCGTTTTTAAGTTTTATAGCTTTAAATGTATTAGATATGTTATTAATAAAGAATCGAGGACAGATGTCAATGACAAGTTATCATTAATTTCATAAATAGTGCTACTGCTGGACCGGCAAGGGGTCTCGGGTTCGATTCCCAGTTCGGGCAAAATATTATTGAGGGTTTTAAAAATTGATAGAGTCTGGAATTGTGCCCGGTACATAGCAATAGGATCACCCCCTATTACATGGGACTCATAATATAACCAGTGAAAAGTGGGTGTTACATTAACAGTGGCAATGAGTGCCGTAATGTGCTGGATAAAAAGCGTGATGTTATGTTATATTGTTAATTAATTATCTATTCAAATCATCATCCTAGGTCAGTTCACTGATGGATCGAATTCTACTACTTAACTGGTGTTTGCTAGTGCCTAATCTCCAGGTTTAGCGGGCAGATTGAAAACCGGCCTTTAAAAGGAGTAGGTAAGGTTCTGATAAAACAGTATTTTCTTTCTTTTTGTTAAACTAAATATAAAAATTCTGTGGATATTAGAACATTCTAAACAGTCGTGGATAAAACTTAGCTCAAAACGATTAAGACCTCAACAAACTGAACCCTAACAATTAAAAATAAACACTAGACTCACTCAAATAATCGCGACCGAATACTAACATCACGCTGTCCTTGTTTGTTCTATCAATAGAAACAGAGATAGCAACACTTAGATAAAAGATAACCTCTTTTAAAACACATGGCAGCGTAAATATAATCCAGTAATGTTTACACTTCTGTCAGTGACAGCATGTAACTTAAAACCAAGCTATAGAGTCCTGGATAAGTGCCTGGTTGACTTAACTGACTGATAACATGAACGTACTAATATTTTATTCGTATCTAGTGACTAGTGACTGTGATACAAAACACTGATTATTTCGTACCTTTTATCATAGTTTGTCTAATTAATAAATATTGAGCAATTTGTTAATTTACTGTGAAATTTTGCAAGGTTAAATCATGTGGGTAATAGTTATGATATTAACATTATGTGGTGTAGTGCAAGGGGTCTCTAAGGCCCCATTAGTGTCTACAAAATTGGGTCAGATTAAAGGATCGGAGCTTGGTGATGGACATGCTCAGTTCTTGGGAGTACCTTACGCTGTGGTGGATAAAAATAATCCTTTTGGGGTAAGTTTATACTAAAAACTAAAGTCAATTTGATAATGTTCAATTATCTTCAGTTATCATCATTTCAGCCTTCTACTGGGAGCCACGGAAGACTTAACGGGTTACCGGGGCTCCGGCTCGAAGTGCAGGAGTAGGAACGGGGTGGTTTTTAGTCAGTAAGACTCGGAAACTCCCTCTCGCCCTGACCCGGGCGGGAGTAGTCGTTGGATGTCTTTCCCACATCAAAAAAAAAAAACTACTACCAGACCTCAGTTATTTCATTGCGCAATAGTTAAAAATTAGATTTTATTGCACAATGATGTTAAATTCGCCGACATAATAATATAGATACTAAAACTCCAAGCTCATTAGTCTAACTCAGGAGTTAATCTGCATTCATAACCTCAGATGCCTAAAACATAAAATTCTAATTTTCAGCCATCAACACCACACCCAGGCTTCAATGAAACTTTCGAGGCGAATAAATCAAAAATGTGTTCTCAAATAAATGACAATGTAGCTGTTGGAATACTCGATAGCCTCGCTATGAACATCTACGTGCCAAAGACAGCTGATTCCCAAAACCTCTTACCGGTCATGGTATGGATACATGGAGGTGGCTTCGTTGGCGGCAGTGCTGATGATAAGGGCAAAAGTTCTCCAATAGAATTCATGAAACATGACGTAATAGTTATAGGAATCAACTACAGACTTGGCATATACGGCTTCATGAACCTGGACATCCCTGAAGTACCTGGAAACCAAGGTCTAAAAGACCAAGTGCTTGCTTTCAGATGGATTAGGGAAAATATAGAAGCATTTGGTGGAAACCCTAATAATGTAACCGCATTTGGTTCCAGTGCCGGTGGCATTTCTATCAACCTCCATCTAGTTTCGCCTAATGAGAAGTTGTTCGATAAAGCGATAATACAAAGTGGAACTGTGTATATGCGATTTTGGTTAAGTGAAGTAGATTATACCATTCCTATTAGAATAGCTCAAGAATTAGGATTTAATACTACAGATAAACTTGAAGCAGTGAAGTATCTTTCAACAATCGATCCCCTAGTAGTTCTCAATACAGTTAATGATTTAAAACATGATGGGGTTAATGTAAAAAGTGAGATTAACCCAAAAACAGTACCATATGTAGAGAAAAAGTTTCAAGGAGTGGAAAACTTGGTAACAGAAAAGATAGATAATATTGTTTCATCAAACAAAGTAGAAACGACTCCTATATTACTGGGTGACAATAGTAATGAAGCTGCTGTCGTTATACATGCAGCTGATGATGAATTTTATAAAAGATTCGATTTTGGAAGGCATTTATCTTTAGGATTCGATTTTAAAGGACCTGTGCCCGAAGAAGCTGTGAAAAGCGTGAAAGATTTCTATGTAAATGATGATAATTTGGATGCACTTAAAGATGGTGTATTAAAATTCATGTCGGATTTTTATTTTTCACATCCGACGCAAAAGACTCAGGAATTCTTATTGGGTATTGGAGCGAGGTCTCTATATCGCTATATGTTCTCGTACAGTGGTGATAGGAATATGATTAAAGCGATAAACAATTTTACTGTTAACGGAGCTACACATGGCGATGAACTTGGATATTTGTTTTCTTACGACATATTTGGAAAGACAAATCCTCAAGATCAAATCATGGTTGATAGAATGGTTACAATTTGGACCAATTTTGCGAAATATGGGTAAGTTTTGTTTCTAAAGCTATACCTTGCAGTCGGTTTTAAAAGCCTTATCTTAAAGGATTTCATAGGTTAATTGTTACATCATTTATTAAAATGATGTACTGTTTAACATTATCTTTAACTTTAAAGTCAAAGTATTTATTTCAATTAAACAAGAATTGTTAATTTATTGTCATCATAATCATCATCATCATCATCAGCCTATAAGTACCCACTGCTGAGCAAAGGTGCTGTACCCTCTTTGCTGAGATGGTTAGAGCATTAATAGGCATGCTAGCTCAAGGGGTATTGGCGATTTCAATCTTATAATATGAAATTATAAACCCAGGTTTCCTCACGATAATTTCCTTCACCGTCTGTCAGTGGTGTCTAAATAATAATAAACTCGGAAAAGTCAAATTGGTACTTGCGGACATTGTTTGTTATTCGTTAAGTTGTAAATCCTACGAAACGTCGTTTATAAATTTTACTGTATTAATACCTATAAGTATTTTAACGTTTCAGAAACCCAACACCGACCAAAACGGACCTGTTTCCAATCAAATGGGAACCCACTACAAAATATAGCCCTAAATATGTAGATATAGACCAAGACCTAACGCTAGGCACCGTACCGTTCCCTGAAAGAATGGAGTTCTGGACTAAATTCTACGAACGGTATGGACAATATCAGATCTGATTTGGATTTGTACCTACAGAATTGTTAACGTAAATTAGTCTATAGAATCACGAATAATAAAAGATTGCTTGAATGAAATTATAATTATGACAATGTATAATTAAAGTTATTTACTTTTAGGTATACATAGAATTAAATTATGTTAGTACGACTTTTAATTTGTTTCTTTATTTTATCTATTTATATCAACGTGTCATGGGTTCGATTACCGCATGGAATACAACTTTATGTATTTCCACATATACCAGGCTTAAACTCCATGTTCAATTAACAAACTTTCTAAAAATCAAAGACTCCACAATTGGGTACTTGCCAAATAGTCAGATTTTTCGAAC